GATGTCTGCATGCAGGAGTGAATTTAGTCTTTTGCTACATGGTATTGCTTGGGGATAACTACAACGCTGTCACAGTGTTCTCAGCGCAAGGTGCCATGCCAGTCTCTTTTCAGTAGAACATGACAGCCAGCCATAAGATCCAGCAGAAGAATTTCTCAGCGCTGCCACTTGGTCCTTCATCTCTATGCCTACTTTGCTTGGTCAGACCACAACGCTTTGCACTTGATATTCCTGTCAGTAAAGTCCAGCTACAATCCAATACAGCTTATGCTAAAAAGATAAAGTGTGTATATTTTTTTGCTAGAAAATGCACTTGGCCCGCCAACAAGCTTGCTTGGGATGAAACCTTTGTAATGAGAACAGGATATTTGTTCCTTGAGTGCTTGCAGTCCTTCTGCCGTGGATAGCAGTGCATTAGCTCATCTAATCTTTCTGTGTGCACACTGGTGCAAGCGAATGTCCAGGTCAGTTTGTTTGTTTTGGTTGCATGCATATTTATGTGTCACTGGGCTATATGAAAACTGAGAAGGCAGGGATAGTTTTGCACAGGGTGAGGGTAGTTGTACGCTGAAAAATGAGCTCAGGCTCAGACTGTTTATATTTTACTGCAGCAGGCTGCTTGGAGAGCCAATGAGGGAAGGTTGGTGAATGAGAACAGAGGAAGTCTACACATACAGTAACTAACTGTGGATTATCCTAACAAGGCCTTGATCACAACAGGGTGAAACAGCAGAACTGAGAGGGAGCCACTCGATGGTCCTAGGTGTCCCGCTCCCTGCAACATAGTCTCCAGAGGGCAGGGGAGGCAAGATATGTGAGATGCTCAACAGGGAATGTTTGACTTTACAGTGCTTGTTATCTCTGCTAGATAGGACTGTCGTAGTCATAACTAAAATGGAATGAGGAAACATCAGCAAAAACAGTGACACTGTACAGAAGCTAGTAAATTCAGGTTGCATAAACTTGTTAATCTCACAAACACTGCCTCTAAATACCCCACCGTCTGATTTTGTGTTCTGCATCACTGTCAGTCGACAGTTTTTCCCCCTTCTTTTTATTTCAGACACCCTCTTCCTTGCTCCTGCATTGCTGCAGTACAGGCACTTATCTCCTACTCGACTAGGCCAGTGCTCACTCACTCCCTTCCCTCCTCCCTCTGTGGTTCCTTGGCATTCATCAGTTTAGCTGCAGCTTCCCACGACATCTGATGGGTCACGGCTAAACACACACATACTGTCAGCAGCGCTATTCAGGCACGGACCTCTCGACCCATCTGCCTCTCTGCTCCTACAGATCGGAGCTGTGGCAGTTTGGAGAAGACTTGTCACAAGCCATGCTGATGCATGAAGAGAGGAATCTAAATGAGGAGGAAACGAGTTGCTGGGTCCTCACCAATTGGTGCAATTTACAGTATGTCACTCCATGTGTAATAGTATACAAGAATACATTGCAGGGTACATTGGATGTATTGAAGATGAGATAAACAGAACAGAAGCAGGGTCAATAAATGAATCAAAGGTTGGCAGGATGGTGGCTGATAGAGATGTAGTAGAAGGATATGGCAGGAGAAGGTGACATTGCAACTGCAGCCTGCAGAGCCTTGAACAAGTCACTTTGACAGGCACTCTGAACCTGTTCTCTGCCTTCACCAAGCCAGTCTGTCAAACGGTTTATTCCTGTCCTTGAAAAAGTATCTTCCAAATCTTGTGTTTCTCCTAAAGGCCTAGAAAACATAGATCAGTAAAACAAACAAACATAACATTAATGTTTTTATTGCTTTTTGGTGAGGTTGTAAGTAATCGACATTGACCTGTGCAGTCACATTGTCCAATCTGGCAAATAGGTGTAGTTGAATAGCAGCATCAGCTGCGTAATGGAGAAGGCTCAATGTAGAGGCAGTGTGGTGACAGACTGGGATATTTTCAGTTACTGAAAACAATAGCTACTGTTTTCTCCAGGAGACAGGTGTTGTATGAAGAGAGCCATGAAAACAGTTTGTTGCTCTATGTAAAAGATAAATTGAACTGCCCAAGCAGAAGCAGCAAACAGCCTTTCCCTTTAACAGTTTGTAGAGTACTTCTCTCCCTTTCTGTTTCTGTGTGTGTGTGTGTGTGTGTGTGTCCATTTCTACCTCAACTTTTATGGCATCAAGTCAGCAAGAGTTGGTGCCATACTGTCCATTTACACTTGGTATAAACTAGTGTATGTGTAGTGGCTAGTCCAAACTTATAGCTCGCCACCCAGCCAGTCGGGGTCAGGAAAGGTTTTGGTTGAATGTTGTCACAAAGTATCTGCTCATTTTTAAAAACTGACATTTTTAGTTGTATAGTGTGGTCACAGAGTTCAGAGATGCTTTTAAGAAAAAAAAATCATAAGCGCTTTCATCAAGTTGTCGATGCTCTCTGTGTTTCATGTATTCACTCAACTCAGCAGTCATTCTTCTTTTATAGAGCCATTTAACACTCCCACCTCTCACTTCCACCTTCTCAGAACTCAGTCACAGCTTTAACATCCATA